GTCGATGTCTCGCTCACTCCTGGCATACAGCTTGATTTCATCCATGTAGAGGAGGTGACTGATGATCTGTAGCCAGTCTTTGTTATGATCTGGCTGAGGGGGTTCAGGCCTATGCAGAACAGCAGCGGGGATAGTGCATCACCCTGGTATATGCCGCACTTGATGGTGACTTGTGCAATTGGCTTTTCATTGGCTTCCAGACTTGTTTTCCACAGCTTCATTGAGTTCTTGATGAAGGCTATTAGAGTCCTGTTGATCTTGTACATTTCCAAGCATTTCAGTATCCATGTATGTGGCATTGAGTCGTAGGCTTTCTTATAGTCAATCCAGGCAGTGCACTAGATGGTCTAGAGCAGAAAACTTGGAACTGATATATATATGGGTGAGGAAGAGTTTTTAAAACAATTTTTAATAGTGCTTAAACCTCTTTCATCAGGATAAAGCATTTTTAATGAACTTAAATGGTTGATAGATTATTATAGGAAGATGTGTATGAAAAGCTTAGAGTCTATTGAAACACAAACCATAATGTCAAAGTTAATTATTCTTGAAGCTTCTCTTTTCTCTCAACTAAAGTGTTCCTCGCCATAACACTTAAATAAACCTAATATCTAGGCTATTTAAGATAAATATGTAGAAATTGGCTCCTATTAATTTGATCTGATAAGAATTAAACAAAAAAAAATGAGTAGGTGGTAAATATATGCAATCTTTCTGTGTCCTCTCCTTCTGGGGCCTCTTTCTCTCTCTCCCTGTCCTCCAGCTCACCTCTCCTCTATCCTTCCATCTCTTAGTCACCACATGGATGTGTCAATTTTTCTATCACTTTCTAAATTTCATGCCTGCTGAAGCACAGCGAGAGCATCTCTGTGGTGCCAAACCCATGAAAATGTGCGGCGTTCAATTCCATCCAACCCCCTCTGAACAACAGCACCTCCTCATTCCTGATGGATGGCGCCACTTTCCACAGCCAGGGCTACGGGCCACGCTGTGACCACACCTCCAGGGCACCGACTTAAAGCCTCAGGATGTATAAGTAAGGGGAACATAAGGAGAAGAGGAATCAGGAGCTGATCCAACCAGATGAAGATGGAGCTGACTGTGGTTAACTGGGTGGTCGCAGCAGCAGGCTTTCTGCTGTTCTGGGCCAGTGGCGGCTCTACTGCCCCCCTTGAGTGTCACTTCAACTCCAGAGGTAGGAATTCATATTTTATATAAACTAAAACATATATATCAAAGATATATTAAATATGATTTTTTTCCATGTGTTGTTTCAGCGCTTTGTGAGTTTGAGGGGAAGCAGTACGCCTTGGGGGAGACCTGGGTGGACAAAGCCTGCATGCAGTGCACCTGTTTGCATCCTGTTGGCGTCGGCTGCTGTGAGACGTGAGTGACATAAACACCCTGAATCATTTGGTGTCCAGATGCACACAGTCTCAAACAGTGGCAGCTCTTACATACATGGAAGGCACCTTTTGTATAGTTGAGCCAAAAGGTATTCACACCCCTGGCAGATTATGTTTCAAGTAATATTTTCCTTTCAGCAGCGGGGGGTCATGACTTGAATCCAATAGAGAATCTCTAAAGTAAGATCAGGATTTGGCTGGTGACAAAATTGTCCTTTAAAGTTGAAGATTTGGAGTGTATCAAGATCAAAAGAGCCTTAAAAGCAGTCTGAGGAGGGTTTGATTTCACTGATTATTTAAAAAGATGTGAATATTTTTAAAATGCATAATTTCTTAAAATTAAAATTAGATCAAATAATTTATATAAATAAATGTAATCTAAATAAATGTAAATAAAAAAGTAATTTCTACATACCCTTTATTTGGGAGGTTACCATTTTCGGTCACTTGCACACCCCTTAACAAATGGAGCCCCTCAGTCCCTCTGTGAAAAGCACAAGATTTAAATCCAGCCATTCAGAAAAAAAGACACGACAATGCACCAAAACAAGTCATTTTGGCATTTGATCAATTAGATGAGAGCTTGGATAGTATGTAGCCACTAAGCTAAAAAATAATAATTAAGTTGAAAAGGTGAAAAGTGAAGGTAAAAAGCTAAAACTTGAAGAGAAAAAGTTGAAAAATTAAAAAGTAAACATTGCAAGTACCTGTAATAACCATTAATGTTCTAACATTATGTTGTAACAACAAAAGTGTTTCTTTTACCCTGTGTTTTACCTTATTTTTCAAAGAAGCACTTAAATTGTTTGTTTTTTTTTACATATCAAGGCAAGTGAATGTATCTGGATATTACATTGACTTTGATTTCTGCTGTGAATAATCAGACATTTTTTTAAACATTACAAAAGTAATAAGGTTTAATGCTGTCCTCCAATAACACCCTTGGCTTGAAATGATGCTTTTCAGTGAGTATCCTATAAAGGGTTAAGGTTTTACATGTCAGAATTGAGTTTTGGGCAATTTGGACAACATTGCAAATCCCAATGTGTAATTAATGTATACTCTACCTTACATCACCTCTAACATGCATCCACTTAAGTAAACAATAACGCTATAGGCAATGGGAACATTATATAGATAGAAAAAAATAATGGATAAATAAGGGCTCCTGAATAACAGCAGAAGACATTCGAGGAGTAATTGTCTGGTAAATTATATATTTTTTGTGTTTATACTGCCATCCTCTGACAAAATGATCACCTGGGCATAGCACCATAACTCTAACAAAAAAACTGCGACTTCAAATGCAGTCAGCTTTAGATGTTCTGAAGAAATGAAATTGCATTTTAGCTATCCAATAGTCATAGGATTTGTTGACTGATCTATTTAATGTAGTATTTTATAGCACCAAACACACAAGAATTAATTTTTTTTGTTCTCTGGGAGTATGATAAACACTATATCTCGTCTGCGCAGGGTGCATCGACCAGTGGACTTCCCTGCCTGGTGCGAGTTGAAGGTGGAGCCGGTGACCTGCAAAGTGTTTCTGGTCCAGACAGCTGATCCTCGCCTTCCGTGCAACCCGGGTGAAACAGACAAGGACCCCAGCCATGGATCGCTCCAGCTGCAGATGGACGGGGGGATACGCACAACACCGTGTCCTGAGACCAACAACAGCTTAACTTACACCTAAATACCAGCAATGCTTTTCATCCGAATCTACGTTAAACACAATCTGGGAATCTTGGACTGAATCCACATTAGACCGTTTCAAGGCAAACCTTCAGATATTCTGAAAAGCAGCCATCTATGATGGCTGTATAACACTGCTTCCTTAGTATGCTTCCTCAAAGTATCTAATTGACTGCTTTCTTTCATGATCTTTGCTCAAATAAAATACTAATGTAAATATAAGCAAGTGTGCATATTTCATATGTGTTTCTGCTCATTTTCCTGCTGTCACTCATTTTTAAGCTGCAGATGAAAAAAAACAAAACAAATATAAAATTTGAGTTCACATTTTTAATACTTTCTTGTGCTTCAGCCCAAGGTCAAAGAAAAGCTCTGAAACAGAAAGCATTTAGTAGAAGCAATGCAAGCTTCAAATAATGAAAAAAACAACTGTTCAAAGCATGAAGCATTTGTGAAATAAATAACCAGAAAAAGAGAAAAGGGATATTTCTAAAAGAAATTGAAACAAAATCTTAAAAAGTCAAAAAAGGGCAACATTTCCATCCATCCATCTCTTTACAGGTGTTTCCAGCAGCAGGGTACAAACTGCACGGATCCCAAGTCCATGCAAAATACAGTTTGTTTTAATTGAAAATCCATTTCTCTTATTTCTTCAGGGAATTTGCACATCTGTGCAGATATATTTCATTTTTAAAAGGAAATCACACACAAACACACATCAGTCCTTAAAACAGCTCTGGCGCTCAGATATTAATACTGTTGGTCCCGGTAAACTGAGAAACGTAGGAAGCCAGCGCTGGGTTTGTCGGCAGCACTCTGATGGGCAGGTTCCAGCTGAAGGTATCCACATCCACATGCTCTGCCCCAGCCCAGATGGTGACCTCTGATTGGTTCTGCAGAACGGTGGGAGGTTCCATCGGCTCACGGGCTGTGACGAATTCAAAGTGCAGGCGCCACCTCAGGGTGACTGAACAGAGAGAGAGTGACGGAGTTAGTTTCATGACATCATCATTTAGTGCCTCATTATATACTTGTCTGGAAAGGATAGTGTCACACTTTTAATTTAAAATGTGTTATAAAGGTGTGAAAGAGGATTTTAAAAAAAAATTAAGTGTCCAGATTCATCAATTATTTTTTTTTTTAGTTTTACATATTATGCATTTTGTAATTATGTATTAGTAACAATGTTTTATTGTGAATTATTCTTATGATGTTACAGGATCCGTAAAAATAAGCCTTGGGGCTTCAGCCTATTCCCTTTTCAGTTACTTTCTGATGGATTCTTTTGTAAAAAATATTTTGTTTTTAAACCGAAATAAAGTAATCATTCAGTCATTCATTTCAAATGAGTTAATTGATGGCTGGCATTCTTGCACATATGGTTCTCCAAAAAAAAATAAAAAAAAGTTTAAATCTGTAAACTCTGACTGTGGTGGTGCCTAGAAAACTTTAGCCAATCCACTTTGCCTACTGTCTAAAGTGGATTGGCTACTTGTTTGGCAATCAAACATATTGCGTACATGCCGCCATGCATTTTTATTCAGGCTCCAAGCATAAGTCATACACTGTTTGGCTAGCGGTTAGCCATTACGCCGAAGCACAAAGAAGTACTCCTATGCTTGTTTGCGACTGCGGATTATTTTGAGCTATTTGTTCACTCTTTTGTGTAAACTGGAGAATCAATGGCCGAAAAGAGTCCTGACAAACTAACTGGAAAAGAAAGGCTTTTTTCGAAGCTAGGATAAGTAGCAAGACAGTTAGCAATAGCTGTAAGGATTGAACTTTTCTCATGGTAAAAAAATGACTTTTTACTGTGAATTTCTCATTGTGGAATATTTTTATTACGAACATGCTGGATAACAAATGGAATAAAAATGATCTAAGATTGGATTTATAATAGGGCATCAGGATCGCTTCAAAGGTAGGAAGTCAAAGCTTTATTTTAGAGCTTCTGATTTAAAGGCATACTATGCAACATTTTTCAGTTAATTAATGTGTTCCATAACGTTTTGGATGATTAAATGAGTCATTTCAGGTCGAACAAAGGTTTTCTCGACCGCCCTGGTGGTCTGTAGGGGAAATACTGTACTTGCAATTGCAGGAGCCCTCGGCCCGCACCCACAGGCTCAGAAGTCTCGTGCATCGCAGGAGTCGGTCTTGCTTTACGGTGAGAACTGCTACACGCCCCCAGTGAAAGGCCTACTCGTTGGTAGCGCAGTGGCGATATTTGTGCAGTTATCATGGCGGAACCAGCGAGAATTTTCAAACTCGAAAACTGGAACAAAATAGTCACTTACCGCAGTAGACATGGTGATTCGTTGCATTCGCCTGTCTGCTAAGGTCAACACAACCGCGCCTGGCTTGACGGAGTAACCAGGAGAACATCTGAGCATATTTACGACAGTGCACTTTTACTTTCGCCCTCTGGGGGGAGCCTCGCTGGAAAATCAACACCGGTTGCATAGTATACCTTTAACAAGCTGCTATATCTTTATTAATTGTGCTTTGGTGCTCATGGTGTCCCCTATTTTTATGTAAATAAATGATTAAAGCTACAGTCAGCCCCCCCTGAGAGACGAATGATACAAATAGCTCTTTAAAAAAAACAATAGTTAATGTAAACAAATTCCTCATTATGAGTTAATATAATATAGAGACTTATAAAAACAAACAAAAACAACTTATGACTGAAATGTCAAACTCAAACGTCACATTGGAGTTTGACCTGCTGACTGACCGATATCTGTGCTGAACCCCGGCGTAACATTGAGAGGTACGGGGAGAGAAAAGTGGCTGGAGGCTGTGTGGAGGCAGGACTCCAGGTGTCGCCCGTGTCCAGTCAGGCTTATGGCCTGTCCGGGTCGCCGCTGATACTGCTGCTGGATCTCCTCCTCGCTCTGAAGGCTCACCGAATACTGGGAAACACGTTCAAAGGGTTATAGCAGACTTGTACAGCGAGGAAACATGAGGAAGGAATGAGGATAGATGGAACCCACCTGCAGGCAAGGAATGTCTCCTTCTGAGAAATTAAAAGTACCAACAATGTCCTCTCCGAGTCTGTAAACAGTCTTGAAGATGCAGAACTTTGCCACTTTTCCTCGAGTGTTGGTGATATTAAACATATCTGGGTGGGAGAGAAAATGTGTAAAAGGTCCAAAAGACAGAAAACTGTTTTATTATTCATCCAAATAAATGTTACTATATAGATCCAGAGTCAGACTAAACAGTTTCCTGTTGAACTGAGGGAGACAGAGCCTAACTGTGATAGATCCAAGTTCAAGGAAGGAAGGAGAACATTTTAAACGGTAAGATAAGAAAATCTGGATATATTTATCAATATTAAGCTTTTCCAAGCTTTTCCAGAACCCTGCTCCAATGAAAAGCTTTATGACAGAGAAAGCAGCTTACGAGGGCATCGTCTAGAGGTGGTGACCATCAGCATGTCCAGGGCTCTCTCTAAAGCCCTCGCATCATGGCGGCTGGCTTCCTCTTCCTCCAGAAAAGGGTTGGACGGAGAAACTTCTTCATCCTGAGGAAATGGAGGCTCTGGCATTCCTGTGGGTTAGATTGAAATACAAATTAAAGGTAACATCAATGCTATTTCATTCTAAATAAAACAAAAACAATTGTTTGTGAATTTCCTCACAAAGAAGGTCAGAAACCATCTCACCCTGCAGAACCAAGACTCTGAAAGGAACCCGGAGCAACTTGATTGGAGAGTTGACTCGTTGACAGCCGATGGTCAGTTTGTAGACGTACTTCACAGCCTGACCTCGAAAACTAGGAGGTCCATCTACGGGAACCACCTCGCTGTAGGAATCTGTGAAACATTATTGATAGAAATCAATAAAGTAAAAACCCTCTAAACCTGACTCAGATGCGTAGGCGGGGGTTTTATTGTATTTACTGTGCATAAACGAACGGCCATAAGCCTTAGAGCATCAATGGAAAGAAGACTAAAAATACAAGTCTCTGCAAGACTATATCAATATAAAATCTACCAAGGATGTTAAGATAGAAAAATGATAGGAGTCACATGGAAAATACCTACAAGTTTTACTTTCTCCAGGGTCGAGGCGGAGATCACAAAATAGTATCTTGGGAGGGGTGTCGAGCACACACTGGCCTCGCTCACCTCAAGAAATGAAAGCAAAACATATAGATACATAAATATTGACAGGTTCTAAATCTTCATCTTTGGGCCAATTTGCAGACATAAAAATCCCCTTTCAGAAAGAACAGTCCTGAAAAGGACGGAGCAAACGCCGTAGGTCTGATAACTAATAGTATTCATGTTGCTCACCTCTGCTTGGAATCAGCACTGTGTCGCTGTCTGCCTGGACGTCCTGCTTGTTGCCCTGGGACGGCAGGGCCACTCTGTTCTCACTGGCGTGAAACTGGCAGTGGATCTGGGCACTGGCCCACGCCAACATCTCGCTGTCAGACAGGAGACAAGTTACACACATACTGGATGTTTCATTGATATATTTCTAGTAGAGTTACTAGCACCCCCCCCTATGAAAGATATGGGACAATAAATACAGAAAATTATTTCAGATTTAATCATTCTCCCTGGAAAATGTGCTGCATATTTGCAGCTTTGAACATTTACTCTCAACTTATAGTTATAAGTGGATACAGAGATCACTCAAATCAGATATGTATGAAGATAAATACATTAAAACTTAATGAGTTGTTAGAGTATAATATTTTTAAATTCATGTCTAAGATACATAAAAAGGTTCTACCAAACAATATCAAAAATAGATTTTCTAAAAGAGACAGTGAGTGTAACTTAACAGGAATTGATATTTAAAAAAAAACAGGTACAGAGTAGCGACGATGGAAAGATGTATTTCTATTGAAGTTGGTGATTAACAGAATAAGCCTATTAGTGCATTAAAGCGAACTAAAACTTATTCTATGTTTAATCGAAACTTGAAGGTCTTTTTGATGAGTCACTATGACAGTGGATAGGCTGATGTTTAGCTAATTTTATCTTCTTTGTTGTTGTTGTTGCCTGTTTTCTGTGTATTGATGAGCATGGAGTCCTTTTTGTTGTATGGTTGTAATTATCTGAGTTGAATAAGTATTACTTTGTTGAAAATGGGGGTAGATATAAGTTTTTTTACGTCTTTCTGCTCCTTTTCTTTTATTCATGATTTCAGTTGTCGACTGCACAGGTTTTATTATGTTAAAAGGCTTCTTTACTTTGAGCGTTGAGCTGCCTAAGCAAGGCCTCTCACAGAACACATCGACATAAGGCAAGTACGTCGGCAACCCTACTCACTCCCATTTCTTCTTTTTTAATTTCTGAAGCTAAATGTTGAACCTTTGTAAGATCCAACAGAAACATTTCTATTTCCAACCAGTCTTACAAGTGTGATCTGGGTTTGTCTTCATTTGCTTATAAAGCATCCCCTTTCACCCTTTAATTTTTATGAGGGCAATTTTACAGCTGATTCCCTCAAGAAGAATACAGCTCAGCCCCGGATCTCGCTTCTGAGCTGATCTGAGTAAAATGTACAGTACTGGAATTCACCAGATAGTGGCAGCTTGCGCAGGAAAGCAGCCCGTAGCACTACCATGCAGAAGAAGAAGTGTTTCACTCTCGTTGCTGCCAGCTTTTTGGAGTTGAGTGCCTCCGTGCAGCAAATTTAGACGCTGTTTTGTTTTGATTTTTTAAACGCCAGTTTAAAATATGACAGATTACTGGATTAAGGACATTTCTAGTATACTTCATGTTATCACACATAACAAATTTTGGGAGTTTGGAAACAGTTGCTCTTTATTTCCAAAATTGATGGGGGGAGTAGGTGATTGAAATAATCAGTTCCCCCTCAATAACATGGGAAGAAATTAATTTACCTGCAAGTCTTTAACAGTGTTTATTCCTCTCCCTCATCAACAAATGAAGTTATTTTAGGTAGCATTTGTTCCTTATTTGCAAGAGTTTTGAGGGGGGAACAATATTTTTTAGCTGACTGAAATAACCATTTCCCCCCTCCATAACATGGGAAAAAACACAGTTACTTGCAAGTTTTTAACAGTGTTTATTCCTCTCTTCACCAACAACAAATCATGTAGATTTGGTGACATTTGGTATTAGTTTTGTGTGTGAGGCAGCAAAAAAAGAAATTGACATCTGCACCCTCAGGGCTAAGCCCCTGATCTCCAAGAATCCTAGATCCGCCCCTGCGGATGTGTTTAGAGGATCACAATGAAACAAAGATAACACCAAGCTGATTTTATTAGAAGCATACAAACAGAAATGCATAAGACACCCAGCGGAGTCCGAGATAAAGGGTGGAGGGGACCATATACGTTGGATCAAGCTTATCATCCTACCTGCTGGCAGAGGTGGAGAGGTGAGACATTGGGTTGGTGAAGGTTATGAGGCACTCCAGGAGCTCCCCGGCCAGGAACACTGGGCCCCGGGCCATGGAGGCCACCACTTCGATCATCTGGGCGGTTCACAAAAACAAACCGACGCTACCTCAATAAATCTCTAAATGCTTAAAAAGAAAAAGAAAAAATAGCCGAATTCAAAGCACAACCATGTTTAGGAGCCGCTGTGTTTCTACCACTCTGACCGTTAAAAGAAGTTAACTTGTTCGGTCGCAATAGTTAAGTTTGTTTATTTTACAGCAAACTGTATTGACATACCTCACACTAAAGCGATGCTGAAGTAAATGTGTTAACGTTTTACGTGGATATAATTTCTGAATCACTCCTTTTTATGTATTTCAGCTTAGTTTCAAGCTGTCTTTGAGCAAACTAAGCATAGCTTGACGACCCAGCTATCGCTCTAGCTACAGTAAACAGGAAGAATACCGCCTACTTCCGCTTTTTCTTCTTCTTTTTTTTATTGCGGTTGGCAAAAACATTAGGTGAGCATTACCGCCACCAACTGGTAAGGAGTATGGACCAATACGTCTGCTTCCGCTACTGCGCACTAAAATGACAAACCATGAGAAAATATGTATAATATACAATAACATAATTATTTCTATTAAAAATTTGTTGTTTTCAAACAAAAATTGAATAAAAATGGATATATATTTTGTTTGTTTTAAATACATGAAATAATCATTTTTCTGTGAGCCATCTCCAATCGGCCCTGCATTTGTGGGGCTATTGGGGAAATATATTTTATGAAGATGAAAAGCCTTTAGGTGGGATTCAAGTATAAAAATGAACCCTCAATAAAAAATCTCTGAGGCTTCTGATGATGCATATAAAAGTCCCCCCATGACGATTGGCTTGTTGTGTGTAGGTTTGTGTTTCTGTTGACTTAAGGGCAGACTTTTATTTGTTTAGACAGCAGGGCCTGGCTGTGAAGGAAGGAAGGAAGGAAGGAAGGAAGGAAGGAAGGAAGGAAGGAAGGAAGGAAGGAAGGAAGGAAGGAAGGAAGGAAGGGTCTGTCAGTAGAAGCGCAACTGAATTGTGAAATAAAAGTTATTTTATTTCACTGTAAACCACTCTTGTATTTTTATTTCATTCAACTTTCTAATGATGTTCGTGAATACAATCAAGTATGTATTTTAATTGTATAAAATATAAAAATTTCAAACAAATGAAATCAAATTTAGTTTTCCTATTATTCAATCGTAAATCTAGTCTACAGCTCCACATCATCCCAAATTTGGCCCTGTCTGTGCTTGCAAAAGTCTAGAGCGGATGTCTTCAACAGGGGGTCGCGACCCCTAGGGGGTCCACAGAGGTCCTGAATGGGGGTCGCAAAAGTTTTGGTTGATTAGACTTTTCTTTATATTCCCCCCTGCAATTTTTTCTACCAATTGAAATATCTTTAAATAGCCATTATCACGAATTCAACACAGATAAACAGATAAATGATAAATGGAGGCAGAAGATGTCTTTCAGTCATCAATGCACACATTCAGCGACACACTTCTTTCAAGCTGGGCACCGTTTCATTCACAACACCTGTCCTATCACCCAGAATTCAGAATCAGATATACTTTAATAATCCCAGGGAGAAATAACTTTAGTTACATTACTGTATATGTAATAGAGTGACTATAGGACCAGATTGATATAACACAATTTCAGACAATAATTAGGGGGTCTCTGCTCCAGCTCACCATCATTTTGGGGGCCCTTGGCCTGTGAAACATTGAAGACCCCTGTGTTAGATGAAATTTAATCAGGGGCAGAGCTAAATGGGGGGCCAGGGGTGGCCATGGCCACACTTAGCTAATCATTGGCCACCCCTGTGGCCACCCCTACCATTTTTCCCCCTCTCTTACAGATGGTGTCAGCAGTAATACTCTCAAGTGGAATATTCAAAACATTTTTGTGGTTAACTATACCCATAATTATACTAACACCAAAGATGATAGGTACAGAATTCCTGCTCTTTTCAGAACCAGATTTTGTCTTATATGGGGTAAAGAGAAAATTATGTGCAAGTCATCTAGGAGTCTTCAGTGAAATCAAAAATTTTAATAAAAACTTATCAAATAATCAATTTATGTAGATATTAGTGCTTGTAAATATAAATTTTATGCAGATTTTTATTGATACAAGTAGGTAAGTAATGACAATGATGATATATTTACGCCCAAAAACTCAAAACTGAGTTTTATCCACTATACCTTTTAGGTAGAAATAACAGATGTTTAAATATATTCATCTATTCTTTTAGCAAAGGCTGTAGGAAACTATAGTTTGTCATAATTTAGAAAACATGGATATATTGCTGGTTAAGTTTCCTGTTGGAACAGTATAGATTGACCCTGAGATTCTGCTGCCCATCCGCTTTCAGCCGCCACTCAGGTTATCATTGGCTATCGCCTGGCCACCCTTATAAAAGATTTCTGGCCACGCCTCTAAATTTAATCTCACAAGGTTTATGCATTCTGCCCAAATAATCTGCAGATTGACTGTTAATTTTAATCATGTCAAACCAAAGTGTTTAAATAAATAAAGAAACGTGTTGGTAGGACCAATAAGATACAATTTAGATGAGAAAAAGCAATAATTACATAAAAGATGAAATTCAATAAACAACTTTTTCAAACCAAATAAATATAACATTTATTATTATTATTATAATGGTAGAGGCCCATTCTTACATTATATCCCTTTTCCTGAATCAAATTTCTCAGGCACCGTTTACTTTTGCTCGCTACGACTTATAAAATATATAAAATAAAACTCCCCGACACGAACCAGCATAAATAGGAACAGCAGGCGCGTGTTTAACCACTTTCAGCATTTTAACGTATTTTTGTGTGTGATTGTTTTAAAGGGAAGGATGCGCCTGCAAGTCAATGTAAGGGTAAAAATGAGCCCTCCTGCTGGGCGGCCGGTGGAGGATTACATCCAGTGAACTCCTCCCAGAGAGGAGCTACAACCTCTGAAAACACATCGGAGATTTATTGCATCGTGTTGAAGCCCTCACACGGGACATTTCTAACACAACTTCAGGTAATATTTACAGCTAGCAACCACTTTAGCTCTACGACAGCCTCAAAACAAACAGCTCTAAGCTAACATCTGTAGAGTAAGGCGGTAACTAGGCTGTAAATGCTGCAAATACTCTTGGCGTGTTGCTCTTTCTGAGATGCTTGCTTGATATATTGTCTCTCCATAATGATTATTGGATGTATTAAGTCATGTCTTTTTATTAAACGTGTTGTTTTCCTCTCTGGTTTGTGTTGCAGGAGCTCATGCTAACCCGGCAGCACTTCCTGGAGAAGGTGCATCGATTATAAATGTTGAAACATGGCTCTAGAACTCCACCCTGAAGACCAAACATCATCCATCCAGAGTCCATGAGTGCAGAACCGGTTCTCCCCATTCATCCAGTCCAGTGTGACAGTGGAGGAACCTGGAACACACACCTCTCCTGTCTTTAAAGCAGCTTCTAAAGCTTGACTAGTTTACTAAAGGTGGCTCTCTGTGGAGCCATACTGGCTTCTATCCACCACTTTTTTTCTTTAGTGTTGGAAAACTTGCAGAGATGAGCTCAGATTGGGGAGAGTTGTCCACAATGGACCTGATGAGCAGGTGTGTCTCTAAGGAATCGGGGCACGGGGTGCCCAAAGAGGGGTGGCGGATCTGCCTGGCTCATGAGTTCAAAGAGAAGAGGAAACCCTTTCAGGCGAAAGATGTGTCGCTGTCCAACGTTTTGGATCACCTGGGCCTCGGAATCAGGTGAGATGTTTGGGTCGTTTAAAGCAGAGGTCACGGATTAGCGGACCGCGGTCCCTTCCGGACCCACCTGCTGGCTAATCTGGACCCAACCTGATTTATAACATTTATAAATTACTGCATGTTGTCCAACGACAGTGTGTAATTTCACTTGCGCCGCTTTGCCTGATAATATGGCTCACAAACGAGCACCTTGATATGTGCTTGAAAATGGCTTTGTCTCCGTTTAAAGCCTTGCAGAGCAGCCTAAAGCCCGCTGCTCTCATTAAGCCATAAAAAAGACAAAATGTGTGAATCAGGAAATTGTCTATATACCAAACTGAACAATTGCTGTCCTCTACACTTTAGATTTTAAAATGGAAAAAATTTCAATTTATTTTTATATTTTTATATTTAAAAATTCAATGTATAACATGGATGCATAAAAAAACCCATTTTATTTCAGTGCTAAATTCTGTTTAAAGTCACAGATTATAATCAAAAATGTCTCTGCATCTTTACTGGTTGATGATTTTCTGTATTCGGACCCCGCTGATTTTTAATCGGTTATACCTGATTTAAAGGCTGCTGCTCAGAACCCCTCCTCACGAATCACCTGAGCAGTTTTAGTATATTATTAATGTCAGTTTTGTTTATTTTATTGTAAATATGTAGTAATACCAGTGAAATTTCTTCTGAGAAATAATGACTCTTCAGAAAACGATATCTCTAAACGTATGAAAATAAGCTTGTATCCGCTAAGCTGTGAGATCCGTCTACATCTAGGTCAACTACTAGTCTAAAGTTCAGGGTGCTTAGTTGCTTTCTAAATTGATAAGAAACCTCTCAAGCGTTAAATGACTGGTTTAATAATATCGCTTTGAAGATTCATTTTAGAGCTCTGTAATCATCTTAAAATATCAGGTTACCACACACTACAATGCATTTTATTCAGTTTTAATGACAGACCAACACAATGCAGTGTATAATTTTAAATTCAGAATAATGGTGACTAGTTTTCTAAAATACTCAACCCCCTTTACCCGTATATCTGTAAACAATCAGCTTAAATAGTCACTAATTAATAACTAATGTGTAATTAAATCCAATGATAAACAAAAGTATCTTGGAATCTGAAGAATTGTGAAAAGTGCAAGGGTTATCGATAGATTTGTGATCTATACAAATACTCCACCACAGTCTCCAACATGAATGCACGTGATTGTGTAAAGTAAGCACATTCAAGGGCTTTAGAGCAGCCCACCCTGCAGTCTGACAAAATGTGGCCCAAGCAAAGCTTAATGAGGACAGAATGTGTTTTGTAATTAATAAAATATATTTTCTTTGCAATGAGCTCCGAATTCTGATGAGACTTTTTAATCATTTCTTTATTTTGCTTCCCTGAGAAACCAACAAGTTCCCTAAAAAAACAGTTCAAATGTTCACTTCACACCACAAGTTTGCTTCACTTCTGCTGCAGTAAAGAAAACGCATACGTCGATGCTTGCAGAGGTCCTGCAGGGCGTGTCTCAGGTATCTCTGTCGCCATGGTCGCTGTTGTTAATTATTGCCTAGATTTATAGCATCAGATCTTGTTCACTGAAAGGAACTTTGCATCAGAGAAAACACCTCCTGTTCAGTTTAGACGAGGGATAAGAGTTTCACGCAATGTCTAGAATTACTTTTGAATTCATTAGCTTTTGTTCTGTTTGCTGGGGGCTTTTACAACCCGTTGTTTTTAGATGTACGCTGGGGTGGGGACTGTTGTTTCCATCGCCGATGGCTTCAAACGGACGTTTCCTGACAATAGTTTTAGGCCGCAGAGGCTTCAAAGGACATGCATTGACCAAAAAAACACAATTCATCCCGTGCTGAATGGAGCTGGAACATTCTTTATGTACAAGTATTGTTTGCTGTCGGTTACCCGTGTCACGCCCTCCTTGTCATCAGATGTGCAAACGTATTTCTACTAGCTGAACTCTTATCGTTTTGTCACACTAAAGAATTCAGCATATTTTGCTGGAATGTTATCTGATAAATGAACAGAGTGAACGACTGATGCCAAACTTTTTTGCACTTTTCTCCTTAAATACATTTCTGTGCAACCATTTGTGTTGAGAAGTCATCTGATTGGTAAACATGAGTGTCCACCTTTGTGTTATTTCATCTCTGTATGAGTCCAGCTGTTCTGGAAAGGCCTTTAGATGTTTGTTAGAGAACAGCTGAGATCAAACACCAAAGAAGACGGAGACGACGATTGTTTCATAAAACCATAATCCGATTACACCTGAAAAACAAACGCATCAAACAAGAAATTGACCGAATCAGGTTTATTTTGAAGGCTGATTCATATTTTTACAGTTCCTAATATATGCAGCCATTTTTTTTTTTATTTTAAAGCTGATATTGCTTTTTCTTCCTCCCTCTCCATAATAAAAATAACATCATAATTTCATCTTAAAGGTTTAGCAAATTATTGAAAAGACCCGCCGCCTCCACTGTTGATGTAGTGACGTCATAGAAAGGAATAAAAAAGGATTATATCTTCAAAATGAAATAAAACAACAGTTGCACAAATCTACGCTAAAGTAGCGCTGAAAAAGTCGACCACTCTGCTTCAGTTCAAAGCTTAATTAAGGAGGTGGTAAACCTCTGGAAGACCTAAAAATAATCTTTAATATCTCTGAAGTAAAAGTAGCACCAATGATCATTTTAACCGAACAAACGCGCGTTACACAACTTAGCTGCGTTGGTGGTCACTGAGTTGTGCTGGCGGGACTTTCAATGCGTGCATGGTTGTGTAAAATGCTCTTTTTTTTAGCGTCGTAAGCAAATGGTGAATAAAGATTGGTGACCCACGTGTGCGAGGGGTCTGAAAACTATCAAAACATGTTAGGTCTCTAAAAAATAAAATGAATGATCATGTTTTTTTTTCACTTTTTACCTGTTGATTCATTACCTATTTTTACATCGGTCAGTTTGCTATATTTATATAAGGTAAAAGTGTAATGAGGCTGGTTTTCTTTTATTGACCTTTCACATAAAAAAATAGAACACTAAGTGTGTTGTTGTTAAATTGTAGCCTAAAGAGGTTGTGGGTTGTTAGTTCTGCAGATTTGCTATGCTGAGCATGTGTCCTGCATTCTGGAGAAGTAAAAAAAAAACAGCAATACCCTTCTGGTTTAGGATATTAGCAGAACATCCAGCATGTTTCAGCTTGGAGCTCACAGTATAAACAGATTATTGACTCAGACTCCAGGCTCTGCAAGCAGCCTGGGAGCTTTTGTTACATTGCCTAATTAATATTTGACCAGGCAAACACAGAGTGACGTTTAGACACACGCGTTTGGTCTCACACTATTACCGGAGCTCAGATGAAGTAAAGCCGCCAATGTGGGAGCCCTGCGCTCAACTCCTTTCTTTATACAGTTGCACAATTCCCTCTTTTTTTTTGTCCTCTCTGTTTGTTTACATCCAGCTTTGGCTAAGAGAGCTGAAGGCCTGAAAACTTATGTAACTCCAGACAATAAACAGGAACAAGCTTGTTGAAATGGTGTTCTTTTATTAACGGTGCAGGCTAGTAAAAAGCAAATAATTCTGCCCTGGTTTTAACTCTGTGACTCACTCTACCTCTGCATGTTTTCCAGGTATCTTAAATGGTGGTACAAGAAGACCCAGGTGGAGAAGAAGGCTCCTTTCATCGACATGTTTCGAGCGCTGCCTTTGCGGCAGATATATGGTCAGTTTGATTTGGATGCACAGTTTCTTGCTATTAATCAGGTCAGTTGATATGGTGACTCGTGAGGAGCTGCAGCGATCCACAGCTCTCAGCCCGGATAAGCTATAAACGGGAAGACTTTTAATCATGTTCCCCACAAATCTAGTCTTAAAGGAGGAGTCGGAAGAAAAACAAAACGAAACGTTGTTGTAGGGAGTCATCATAACAAAGGAAAATATTGTCAATCTAATCAAGTCTTTTTGGATCATTTTAGATCTAATCAAAAAGTCCTCATTTTGTTTTGTTTTGAGGCTGATATACCAATCAAGAGCAGATTCTTTTTAGCAGCAGCTATGCTTGTGTCCTCCTCCTGCGCTGCCATGTTTGTTTGGGTTCGGCTATCAGTTCGGCAGCTCTGGTTTCCTTCACAGCTATATGTCCCACCTTAAACCTTGAAGGTATAGTGGAGGATGTTATGTTTCCCGGTGGATCATCAAAAGAAGTGGTCCTCCTAAATTGTCAATCATTTTGGTGATGTGTATGTAAGGCCGTCCTACATGACTCACTTCAGTCTGACATAGCGGAAAAACTGCAAATCTTTTGGAAAGTCAGCTTGTATGAGAGATGCAAACAGCAACTTTTAAAAAGAGCATGCATGAGGAGAAATAGGCTCGTGCACGCTCTCACAGTCGTATAATAATTGTTCTCTCTTGGGAGCAGGTACAGGGACTTTAAAAAAAAAAAAAAAAGTCCAGAGGGGCGGGTTTTTATTTAAATTCGCGAAAATCCTCCACCATACCTTAAATATCTCAAGGTGATTGGTCGACTTTAACTTGAGTGGTAACGTTCAGTGGCTAAGGATTAATTGTTTTATCAAAATAAATGTTGACTTAATCATTGTACCTCCCAACTGTAAATTAAATTTTACATTTTTGCTGGTAATAGTGGGAGGCAAAAGAATAATTTGACAATACTCACCTGATTTAATTCTTTAAGTCAGCTTATGCAAACCTGAATGTTTTTTTTTTTTATATATAGTGCTCGATTACCTATTAACTCATAATTTCTCATATTTCACCCCACCACCTGCTGGTACAGGTGCTCCTCTCGGCGGTATCGGAGGTGGAACCATTACTAGGGGTTGGAGGGGGGAGTTCTGCAGATGGCAGCTAAACCCTGGGATGTACAACTACAAAACTGTTATCGCCAATCAGGTACCTAACGGCACACAGATCTCAGTGAAAAGATATCCATATAAAAGACTTTAACTACTTACTATTGAGGTGAGAACTCTCATCTCTATAGCATGCAGAGATGCTTTAGGGGTAACGTAACTTTGACTTCATGACTGCGGCATGTCAAAATGACAAGAAATCAGGTTTGTTATTATGTTCCTCAGAATTAAACTTAGAGTAAACCAAATAGTTTAGTTGTAACAGTTAAAATCTATTGATTTAGCAATTCACCTTTTGGATTCCCTTGTATTAATCCTTTTGTATGGAGTAAAAATAATGACAATCTGACTTATTGGATAACAGTTCAGCACACTAACAGTTTTTTCTTCTCTACGTCAAGTCAGTAAAAGTTATTTCAACTTGGTAATGTAAAAGTTGACTTTAAAACCCACGCTTTCCACAGACGGTGGGAAAAAAATAAGGGACACGATCAGGCTGGGTGCGAGTGAAGTGGTGTCTGATCCCTTTAGCGCATGCACAGCGGGTAAAGACAATAATGTACAGAAACAAGAGGGTGGAAAAAATGAAGCATGATTTTATTATATTATTACATCAACTATAGGATCAGCTCCTCCAAATCCAAGGACATTGGTCTCCACTGGAAAAAGATGGCTTCTCCCTTTTAGGTTGGAGTTCCTGCCTCAAGTGGAGGAGTTAAAGTATGTTGGGGTCTTAGAGTGAGAGGAGAGTGGAGCAGGAGATCGATAGACGGATTGGTGTGGCTGAGGCTATAACGCAGGCCTGCAGCGGTTTGAGCCAAATCGCAAAGGCTTGATTTACTGGTCGGTCTACATTCCTACTCTCACCATCCATCCATCTTCTTCCACTTATCCGGGGTCGGGTCGCGGGTGTAGCAGCATCAGTAGGGAGGCCCAGACGTCCCTCTCCCCAGCCACTTGGGCCAGCTCCTCCGGAGGAATCCCAAGGCGCTCCCAGGCCAGCCGAGAAACATAGTCCCTCCAGCGTGTTCTGGGTCACCCCCTGGGCCTCCTCCCAGTGGGACGTGCCTGGAACACCTCACCAGGGAGACGTCCAGGAGGCATCCTAATCAGATGTCCGAGCCACCTCAACTGGCTCCTCTCGATGGGGAGGAGCAGCGGTTCTACTGTGAGTCCTCCCCGGATGACTGAGCTCCTCACTCTGCTCTCACCGATGGTGATAAAATCTGGATCATGACTAAAGAAACGAGATCCCTGATACAAACGGCTGAAATTAGCTTTCTCTGCAGGGTGGCTGGGCTCTCCCTTAGAGATAGGGTGTGGAGCCGGTCATTTGGAAGAGGCTCAGAGTAGAGCTGCTGCTCCGCCGCATTGAAAGGAGTCCGCTGAGGTGGCCTGACATCTTTTTCAGATGCCTCCTGGACGCCTCCCATAGGAGGTGTTCCAGGCATGTTCCACTGGGAGGAAACCCAGGGGGTGACCCAGGACACAACGGAGTTACTGTGACTGTCAGCTGGCCTGGGAGCTCCTCTGGGTTCCCCCAGCAGAGCTGGAGGAGGTGTCTATGGAGAGGGAAGTCTGGGAGTCTCTACTGAGACTGCTGCCCCAGTGACTCGTCCTGGATGAAGCTGGAGACGACGACAAGGAGTATATAATAAATGAAGCATTGCAAGCTTTTTTCCAAGCTTAACAAATGCAAACAACTTCCAATTTTATTGCTAATGAGTCTGTAATTAATTGACTGGGTGGCTTCACTTCAATTGGTTTGTGGAAACTGAAGGAACTCTACACACCCATAGTATTACTTCAAAGCTGTATTGATACTGCAGTTAGCAACCCAGGTTTTGTAACAAGTCATTACAGTAGTGCTGCTCTGTAAAGAACAAAGCGATAAAAGGGTTATTTATTCTCCTTCATGTTTAAACAGGATCATAAAGATCTTTGCTGGCGATTTACCACATGTTCTGTTCATGCTAGGAGAGGGGCATTGTCCTACAGAGAAAAAAATCTGTCTCCTCTTCTTTTTAATGATCCTGAGCCAGCTTGACAAAATTAGGCAATAGTTTTAATATTTTTATTTATTTAGGTGAAAAGCGAAAGTTCTTATAGGAGAAAGTCCTTATGGACTGATTGTTCTTTGATTGTTTGGAAGATGGTAGCCAGTCTGTCTGGGACTGGAAAAACTTGTCTTCTTCTCAACCGCTACTGGTTTGGCTTGAAAGTCAACTGGAGACACACACTGGTTCAGGCTTGCTGTCAGAAGCATGTTTCAAAAATTGCTCAATACTTTTAAATCGACAGCATGGTGAAACTTTTTCTTTTTCTAGTTCACGGTGTGCTTGCGCCGCGGAGGACAAACGGTTTACCAGCAGGTTCTGTCCGTGGAGCGTCCGCCAACGCTGCAAGGCTGGAACTGGGGCTACTGCGGGGAGTACGCCTTCTATCACGCCTTGTATCCCCGCGCCTGGACTGTTTACCAGCTGCCTGGCCAGAATGTCACCCTCACCTGCAGGCAGATTTCCCCCATCATCCCCCATGATTACAAGGTTAGTGGGGTCTGACTCACTCCTCAAATTGCTTTAGTTACACTTTACAGGGGATTACACGAGATTCAGTAAAGATAACACAAAAAAGTGATTTATTTCATAAATGCAGCACTAATGATCTGTTCAATAGAATAGGTGCATGCTTTATTAAACCAGCATAATTTCACTTTGACTAATCAGAAGAATCCAATCTTTCATTATTAATGTAGTGACACAATTGATGATGCACCCGGTAATACTTTCAACGTCCTCTTCTACCCAATAGGAATCTACCTATTAACATTATAACATTAGGCAATTCAATGATGGACCAGAGGGAGAGAGAGGGGAATCCTTAGGAGTTTCTCTTTGGTTATACAGTGAGGAAAATCTGTATTTGATCACCCTGCTATTTTGCAAGTTCACCCACTTATAAAACATGGAGGGGACTGAAGTTGTCATTGTAGGTGCATGTCCACTGGGAGGGACATAATCTAGAAAACAAAATCCAGAAATCACAATATATAATTTTTTTTAAAACTATTTATTTGTATGATACAGCTGTAAATAAGTATTTAAATGTTAATATTTGGTACAGTAGCCATTGTTTGCAATTACAGAGGTGAAATGTTTTCTGCACTGGACAAAGATCGACATCTAGACAAGTAATTTTTTCTTAAAAGAAGTGCATTTAATTTAAGATTTTTTTTACTTATTTCTAGATCGTTTTTCCAGTGTGTAGCTCTTCACCAGGTTTGCACACATTGCAGGAGGGATTTTGGCCCACTTCTCCACACAGAGCTTCTCTGGATCAGTCGGGTTTCTGGACTGTCGCTGAGAAACAGAGTTTTAGCTCCCTCCAAAGATTCTCTATTGGGTTTAGGTCTGGAGACTGGCCAGGCCATGCCAGAACCTGGATATTTTTCTTACAGAGCCACTCCTTGGTTATCCTGGCTGTGTGCTTCGGGTCATTGTCTTGCAGAAGACCCAGCCTCAACCCATCTTCAATGCTCTAACACAGGGAAGGAGGTTGTTCCCCAAAACCTCCCAATACATGGCCCCGGTCGTCCTCCTTAATACAGTGCAGTGGCCCTCTCCCATGTGCAGAAGAACAGCCCAAAAGCATGATCTTGATATGCTTCTTATGGAGCCACTCCTTGGCTTTTCTGACTTTGTGCTTCCGTGTTGGAAGACCGATCTACGACCCATCTTCAATGCTCTGAGGGAAAGAGGCTGTTCCCCAAAATCTTGTGATATCTGGCTCCAGTTGTCCTCTCCTTAATTCAGTGCAGTTGCCCTGGCCCATGTGCAGAAAAACAGCCCCAAAGCATGATGCTACCACCCCCATGCTTCACAGTAGGGATGGTGTTCTTTTGATGGTACTCATCACTCTTCTTCCTCCAAACACAGTTAGTGGAATTATGACCAAAAAATTCTATTTTGGTCTCATCTGACCACATGACTTTCTCCCATGACTCCTCTGGATCCAAATGGTCATTGGCAAACTTAAGACGGGCCTTGACATGTGCTGGTTTAAGCAGGGGAACCTTCCATGCCATGCATGATTTCAAACATGACGTCTTAGTGTATTACCAACAGTAAATTTGGAAACGGTGGTCCCAGCTCTTTTCAGGTCATTGACCAGCTCCTCCTGGGCTGATTTCTCACCTTTCTTAGGATCATTGAGACCCCATGAGATGAGATCTTGCATGGAGCCCCAGTCCGAGGGAGATTGATAGTCATGTTTAGCTTCTTCCATTTTCTAATGATTGCTCCAACAGTGGACCTTTTTTCACCAAGCTGCTTGGCTATTTCCCAGTAGCCCTTTCCAGTCTTGTGGAGGTGTACTATTTCATCTCTAGTGTATTTGGACAGCTCTTAGGGCTTTGCCATGTCAGTAGTTGGATTCTTACTGATTGTATGGGATGGACAGGTGTCTTTATGCAGCTAACGACCTCAAACAGGTGCATCTAATTTAGGATAATAAATGAAGTGGACATTTTGAAGGCAGACTAACAGGTCTTTGAGGGTCAGAATTCTAGTTGATAGGTGTTTAAATACTTATTTACAGCTGTATCATACAAACAAATTGTTAAAAAATTATACATTGTGATTTCTGGATTTTTTTCTTTTAGTCTCTTTGTGGATATGCACCTCTGATGATGTGGAGTAACAAATGTTGAGATATGTCTGTTCTTAGCCTCTCAGGCTCCAAACGAAGGTCATGAGAGATAAGTTACACAGCCTCCTCAAAACAACAGGGGATGACTGTTGTTTTGAGGAGATCCATCTGGCCAGTGAAAGATATATTAACCTAACAGGGAATGGCCCTGATGAACTCAAGATGTTTTGCTTCAATGTTCAAGTGTGAGAAAGTTCTTTGTGTAGGGGGTGGGTTGGTTACCCTGAGGGGAGTGTGCGTGTTGGGAAATGTTAAGGTATAAATGTATGTGCTGAGGATGCCTCAGTTGGAGCCCTAACTCTCCATCTGAGGACATAAAATAAATTTGAACCTTATTTCTTGCAAGAAGTGCCTCTGTCTCAGCTTCCTAACTCCACAATGAAAATTTCAGACCCCTTCATGATTTCTAAGTGGGAAAACTTGCAAAATAGCAGGGTGTTCAAATACTTATTTTCCTCACTGTATGTTCTGGATTGTTTTGATTTTTAGACTCATTGTCAACATTATTTCACTTTTCTGGCAGAATGCATCCGGTTTTTATCATCTAATGACTCCAGCCGTGTCAAATGAAATCATGTTGCTTTGTCGTCTATTAAGGTTTTCAGGGCCTCTGCAAGGGAAGCAGACCCACAGCATCTCAGATCCTTTATCGTACTTAGTAGACATGAAGTTCTTCACAACACATACCGGTCCTTTGCCTTGCAACAAATGTACCTTAAGTGTTGCTGGAATGCTTAATTTTGCTCGAATCTGTGCAAAGAGCAAGGTTAAGGTTCTCAGAGGAGTTTAACAAACTCTGTATCTTCAGATGTTGTCTTCTTTTTCTTATTTAACAAGGTCATTTGCAATTAAGGTAATACCAACTTTCAAGGGAGCACTGTTGCAGAGTTAAAAGAAAAAAACGAATCATGAAAAACAGGTACATGTTATTGAATCAGTCTTAAGAACTTGGAAGTAAAAGCACTCGGTGACATCTGTTTAGTTCATTTCCAAAGATTTCTGAAGCTTTCTATGAGGAAGCAGATGAGTGAACATAGGCTTTCTTTCCCAATTCAGTACAAGCAAAAGGTACGTGATGTGAAGACTTTTGGGTCCTTATCCAGACTTCTATTGTTTGTGAAATATTTTAAAACATATAACATAGGCATACGTTAATTTGAAGAGCTGATTATTATTGTTTTTCAGCTGTTTTCTCATTATGAAGGTCTATGAATCTCTCCCGCTCTTAAGCCCCGGTTAGTCTTTCCCATTTATAGTAGTGGTTACAAGAAATTAGTCTTTATGTTAAAGGAAGTTTGTTCAGTCCTTTTAAAAGGGATTTATTGTTGTACCAGTAACTGTCACTGTTTTTATTTCATTAAAACCATTTTTTTTCCTTCTCTGAACAAATAGATTTGTTCAGTAGCCGTATGCCATGTTTGACAGCAGCATGTTCAGTGTGGTTTCCTCCTCCTCAGGACTCCAGTCTCCCCGTAGCAGTATTTGTGTGGGACATAGAGAACAAGAACGACTACGATCTAGATGTCTCCATTATGTTTACAATGGTCAACGGATCCGGAGACAACAACGACAAGAGCGGCGGCCACTGGAACGAGCCGTTCCACCTGGAGAAGGATGGGGAAGCGGTGTCTGGAGTCCTGCTGCACCACTGCACCCCAGTCAACCCTTACACCCTGTGCATCGCAGCACGAGAGCAGGTTATTTATCCACAAAATATTTCACATATATACTATTAGAGCTTCAGTAATGTTTTAAATTTATGAAATAAATGGCCACCAAAGGACTTGGTTGTGCAGCAACAGATGGAGAGACTGAGCCTCCTATCTGGCCTCATTTACTGTTACATTTTAAATCCTGGGCATACCTTGATGTAGGGACCTGGGTTGGGCCTAATGAGCAAGTTCTAAACAAAAAACCTGTGTGCTTTAAATGCACTAGGACAAAAGGGAGGTGAGTCACCAGACGACTTTTAGTCCCAAGGGAACCTGCAGCGGCCTGTGGAGCGACCTGATCACAGACGGAAGGCTGGACTCCCCTACAGGTCAGTAGTTGACTCGGTAAACACAGAAATGGGGAAACTGTATTTGCTTTGGCTGCTTTGTCCTTTGTAGATGTTTCAATATAGTAAAAAAGATTTTATGGAAGCAGTGAAGCCGTTTGTTTTTAACCTTCTGCAGGATCCAGCAAACCCACAGAGAAGGGGGAGAAGGTAGCAGCTGCGTTAGCTGTTAGCTGCTCGGTGAAGGCTCAAGAACTTAACAGCCTGGAGTTCTGCCTGGCCTGGGACATGCCTAAAATCACCTTTGGCTCCAGGGAGAGGGAACACATCAGGTAATATTTTATAGAAAGAAAAAAAAATGGGGGAGAAAAATAAAATTTCCAGGTTTAAGGTCATAAGATGTATTAGAAAAGGCCAGCCCAGATCATCATCTCTCCACCACTGTGCTTCACATTCTTTATGAGCTTTTTTTTTTCCTGCAGCTCATGGATTAGAGTGAGACTAGAGCTGAAACAATTAATCAGAATAATTGTGATTAAACGATTATTGAAATAATCGTTAACTAAGTTAATAATAGATTAATCGTTAACTGGAGTATAGAGACTCTGAAACATGCCTTTAACTGACAGAGCGACCCACTTGGAGCAGTAATTATATCAAAATAGTAAAAATATGTAAATATTTTGCTTTTAAGATTTAAAAAATATTTTCATCAGTCAATATGCTCTATCCAGAACTCCATTAGTGGAAAAGTTTTAGTTTCACCTGTTTTAATTTAGTAAAATGTCTTCTTTAAGGAACCTTTTGCTGTCCGATAATTAATGGATTAATCAGCGGATTAATCAAAATAATCGTTAGTTGCAGCCCTATGTGAGAAATTCCTAATTTAGTGCAATTTGTAAGAAAAGGGTTTCAACTTCATGTGGCTATGTGTCACTGTGCTACAGGTTTCAGATATCTTATTCTACAGCTATATTTCCATATTTGGTGATTTAACGGGTATCTGTCGAATGCAATGATGCATATATTTCAACCGTTTGGGTCATTTGGAGCAGAATCTGAGATGAAGGGTAACATGGAACTTAGGGCCGCGTCACACCTTTCCGATTTAGACAGCGCATGCCTGATGTCCCAGAATCTTCGAAAATGCTGGAATACGTGGAACCTTCTATGTATTTTTTCAGTTTTGGGCGCATACATAGTGTGTTCATAAAAAGTCCAGAACTCATGTCCAACGACAGCCTAACTTATGCATAATGCATGGCAGCGTAATGCCCATGAAATGTCACAAGCCAGTGTCCTGAGGGGGACAGCAATGTGCCCGGGGACGCCTGACCTGCACATAAAGATTTCTTTGATCGTGGTATTAACCTAGCTGCTGTTCACTGCTCGCCCAAAAAATAGACATGGAAATTGAAGAAATTGAACTTTATTGATCTCACAATGGGGAAATAAACTCTGCATTTAACCGATCCCCTTGGGGAGCAGTGGGCTGCCATTGTGAGGCGCCCGGGGAGCAGTATGGGTTTAAGGGTCTTGCTCAGAGACCCAGAGTGGAGGCTGTGGGGACTGAACTGGGTACTTGCAACCTTCTGAGAGCACAAGCGCACTGCTCTAACCATTAGGTCAACACTACCTCCAAAAAGGAATAAATAAAAAGAAAAAAAAAGAAGGTTTGCATTCGCAGCAGATTCAGAGTCAAGTCTGCTAGGAATTTTGTCAGTTTGTGGGCGTGAACACAGGGAGGATCCATCACGCTCTCCCTATGATGGGGATGAAGTCTGGACCAGAACTGACAGTGTCCTCCTGTGAACCCCCTTTTACACCAAAACGCTGCCAATATCCCATTATACAGTAGCTGTAATTTAGAAACACGTGCAGCGGTCGTCACGAACACGTCATATACGTTGGAGTAAAGTTCTTGATAAGTTATGCAAAAGTTACTCGTATGTTTTGGATAAGCTAGACACCATGACTTATGAGTAACTTACACTTAACGTATGTCAACGATCAGATAAGTTACCTGTAACTTATGGCCCAAATATGAGCATAAGCTGGCATACTTGCCGTATGTTGACGTGTTTCAGGGTGTTTCAGCGAGCTTCAGCATGCTCATAACCTGTACGAAACGTACCCATAACTTATCCTATGCCAGTGTTTTTTCCAGATTTTTCATACGTCAGGCATACACTGTCTAAAGGCTGATTTATACTTCAAAACTAGGTCGTCTGCGTAGGTGTCGCGGTGAACGCAGAGACTTCCCCGCCCCCTCCTCAGACGCTCTACTGCTCTCTCCCAAATTGAAGGTGACCGCAGACAGGAGGCCTTTGGTCAAATTTACATCCACTCTACTCTATACATATTTCTTGTTTGTTACCCTACCGGCTTGTTTTGTTTTAATGACTGCCATTGCGGAAAATGACTCGTGAAGTTGGACCAAGTAGAAGAGCGAGGGGCAGGAGAACACTGGGACCATTTTTTCCACCTATTTTTCAACCTCAAGTCCCTCCCTTGTCGGACAAACTTGCCCCTTGCTTTTTTTCCCACTTCCTCACCGCCTCGGCCGTATCTAGACCCACAGCCAGTATGGATTGTCCCTCTTGCGCTGTGGCATTGAATAACATAGCGCAGACCACGCTTCAATATTGGGCATAGATCAAAAACATCTGCGTCATACCTGAAACAAGCTCACTGCGACACACTACTGCAGTAGTATAACCAGCCCTCCAAACATCAAGGTATGACATGGCCTTTAGCTTGGTTTAACTTTGTTAATTGATTAATAATTTTCCAGCCCATTCTGTTGCAACCTAACTCAGACATATAGGCAATTTTATTTATGAAGCACATTTCAGTAGCAAAACAATTTAAAGTGCAGTTCATAATGGGGAAAAACCATAGGAAAAGGTACATTGCATGACAATTGAATAAAGAATAAGATAATAAAGAACAATAAAGAAGAAAATTAAAGAAAGTTAGACAATAAAGTAAAACTAATGATGTATAGTTGGCAAAGTCAAAGGCAGCTCTAACAAAATACGTTTTTAACCTGAATTAATCCAATTAAATCCGTACAATTTATTTTCCCAAGTTTCTGGGAGGTTTCTTCCAGATTAGTGGAGCATGTTCAGTTCTGGGTATGCAGAGTAGACCTGAGCCAGAAGACCATAGAGGTCTGAACATTTGATCCACTGACAGCAAGTCTGTAAAGTATTTTGGAGCTAAGCCAGTCATTTATAGACTAACAGAAGTAATTTAAAGTCTGTTTTATGATATACAGAGAGCCGATTAAGGACTTTCAAATAGGGTGGTGTGTTCCACTTTCATAGTTTTGGTGATGATGTGGGCAGCAGCATTCTGGATCACCTGCAGCTGTCTGAATGACCTCTGAAGACAGGGTTGCAGTGATCAATTCTATTAAAGATTAATCCAGAAAAATTTTTTTTCATGGTCCTGCTGAGACATTGTTAATTTAATCCTGAAGATGTTCTTTAGGTGATAGATGTCTGACCTTGTTACTGTCTCTGCAGGTTCAGGTCTGAGTCCTTGACTACACCTGGATTTTGATCCTTATTGGTCCTTTCTAGATGTATTAACTGAAGTTGCATGCTAACTTTAAACACTCTTTGGTCCAAAAACGATTACTTTTGTTTCTTAGATATAGACTAAGCCTTTCTTCCTATTACTTATAGCTGACTGATGGGACCATCGGAGAAACTGGACGTGTATTCTATAGACTGAAAGCTGTTTTGAATGCTTCCACTGTTCAGTAATTCTCACTGTAGATCTATGGACAAATTATCTAAAAGGAGATGTATATAATTTGCTAAAATTGATGGACGTCTATAGTTTTTGTAGAGTCATTGCTGACACACACCTGCTCCAGTTTAAGCTGCTGCTTAAACTGTCGTCTTTGCGCTGTCTCACCTGGCTGCTATGTACTCTGTATTTTAATATTTAAAAAAAATTCTCGAACATCTCCAAGTTTGTTTTTATATCATTTTAGTCCTGCTAAGCATTAAATCTTTTTTTTTATTTATTAAGTGTTGTCTTTTTTGTGTAACAAACTGACTTGGTTTGGCTGTTGAGCTCCAACATCACATCTACAAAACATACCTCCTCCCATGTTAGCTTTACTGTCCTTCTCGGTTGCAGTGAAAGAGGAGCCCACTAGTGTTTACCTTTATTCACATGGTCTAGATTATGGTGTTTTTTCTCGTTACTAATTCAGCTAATTTTTTTAAAGCATAAAACACGAAGAATAAGGTTGAAAAATAATCTGCTATGAATAAAACCTCATTGAAGACTTTTTCTCCCTAATCTGTATCCCTGAATTTCATCAAACTAACCCAGCATTGTTTTTGTTCTCTGCAGGAGATATGCTCGTTTTTTTGGAAGCGAAGGAGATGCTTCTCCCTCTCTCAGTCATTACGCGCTGACACACTACAAACAGTGGGAGGAGACCATTGAGAAGTGGCAGGAGCCCATTTTACAGGACAGGTAATTTAGTTGCAACATTTTGACAGATGCAGCTAAAAAATTATAAGAATATTGAAAAATTATTGGTTCAGAACCTTAGTTAAAAGGAAAAAAAAAAGAATCTCAAGTTCTGTCGTCTGCAAAGAAGATTAGAGGCAACACTAATGGTCCTTATTCTTTTTATCCTGAATTGTTGGTTCTTGAGTGAAGTAAGACATGGGTTAGAACTGTTGTAATCCTTGTCTTGAGTGCTGCAGGGTTCTTGTCAGCACAATCCAGCATATAAGGTTGTTATGGTGTCAGCGGTTTAAATTACTCTGTAATTACGTTCCGCTTTCTGTCAAACGGCTTTACAGCCTTGTAGATGGGATTGTAAAACATTTTTTCACAGATATGAGAAACCTGGCTGCTGGATGACCTTTAATCGCTGCTATGAAAACATGTTTCACAATTACAGGCGAGTGCCCTTCACTATGTGTGTCTAGGTTCAGCATTTCTCCTAGGATCATCCAATAAGACGGCCTATTTTTCCCCAAGATGATCACTGCACATTGTGAGATATTTCTGTCCTTATTTGGTCGCTCATCTACTTTTATCTTCTCCTCTGAAGCGGCAAACTTGGCTAGAGATGGACAAAAGCTTATGCTAGATACTGTAGCACCAATCCAGACTCAAACACAGCGGCATTGGAGCTGGCTCAGTCCAACACCAGACTGGGTCAATCTGATATTTTACATATTAAGGGGAGACACATAACCTTGCGCTATAAGATGGAATGTCGGGAGATTTAAGTTTTTCAGTCTCACAACAAATCCATGTTGAAAGACTCCCGCTAATACGTCCATCTCGTAACAACCAGCGAGTCGGACCAATGACATGCCAGAAGTGTTTTTGGGGCAGGACATGTAAGAATGATCACATTCTGAAGGGCCTTGCCGGGGCATCACAAACATGGCTACGCTGGAGGACTCAGTTTTAGCTAAAATAGTGACAATTTCCCGTTTAAAAAAGGAGCAAAGAGAAGCACTCTTACGATTGGCTGAAAGGGTATTATGGAAGGCGGGTACTAGCTGACACGTCACCTAATCAGCTCAAAGTATTGTACTAAATGTCCCTCCTTTTCACTGACAGACCGAACGGAAGCCATCCCAGACTGATTACGTAGAACTTAACTCAGTTCTACACATATCAATCTGTTTCCTGCCAGGTTAGGAGACACAAGCAGCTCCTACCAATATGAAAAAAGGGAAAAGAATAAAACAATATTAATGGGCTAAGTAACGAAGATGCTAAGCAGAAAGTCATGGTTGGAGCAAATAAGAAGAATGGAGAAAAATTGGAAATAGTTTTCTTTAGCAAACTCTCTTGAAGTCTTACTGAGAATCCCAGAGGCACTGAATAAAGATGTAATACCCAAATTCTTGAATCAGTGATACCTCACCTCAAACATGCAGTTATCCGTTTTTTTTTTTGTTTTTTTTTTTATCACACATTTTCCTTCAACTCAACTTTTCACTAGTATGCTGGATATAGCACACTGATAAAAACCAAAACCAAATGCCTATCTGCTGGAAAACTATCAGGTTAGCAGTCATCCCCATAAATGTGTAGGAAATTATGTTACCATCTTAGGATGAAAATCCCACTTTCAGTAAAGTACTACAGATATGTTTTAATAGCTGTAGGCTAATACAATAAGAAAATCAGAAGAAGGGAAATGTGTCGCGCTTTGTCATCCTGTGCAGCCGTTTCTTATCCCAGCTTTAAATCGTTTTTTGTTTTTTTGTTTTTGTTCCGGCTAACATTTCCCTTTGTGTCCCCAGTTTGCTTCCGTCTTGGTACAAGTCGGCCCTGTTTAATGAGCTGTACTTCGTGGCGGACGGAGGAACTGTGTGGACGGAGCTCTCAGATGACGCTGACGTCAGTGGCGGCTTGCGAAGCGAGGACGGGGGTCTGCCAGCTCAGCCCGCTCTGGTCAAGGAGTACGGTCGTTTTGCTTACCTAGAAGGTAGGCATGGGGGAGATTATTAGTCGGGGATGACGAGCAAGTTACGTTTTTGTTTTAATGCAGATAAATCTCCGGAAAATAAGGACATTTTCAGATTAAAAAAAGCATTTACCCTCCGTTCCAGGTCAAGAATACAGAATGTACAACACATATGACGTGCACTTCTACGCCTCCTTTGCACTTATAATGCTGTGGCCCAAACTCGCCTTGAGTGTGCAATATGACATTGGTGAGTGAAATCCTAGTGCGCCTCCTGTAACCCAGCTGTCACTTTTCAACACTATCAACATTACGGATCTATAGTTTAACCACTCTGTCCCCCCTCAGCCGGTAGTGTGGTTCAGCAGGATCCTACAGAGAGGCTGCATCTGATGAACGGCCGTTATTCTCCTGTCAAGACCAAAAACGTGGTGCCTCATGACATCGGAGACCCAGGTAGTAGAGACATCATCATCTGCTTTATCGCATGTTTTATACTACTAATTTACCATCATAATGATTGTTGCAATTAAACCAGATTTCATTCCATTATTTCTAAAATCAGTGGGGCAGAAATAAACAAGATGAAACCCATAGACACAGAAACAGTCACTCACTAAATCAATAAAACCAACAGGTATCACCACGGATGTAATTTCTTCAAAGAATCGTTTTGGTACCCTGCACTTTTTACTGTTCAAAAACAATGTTACCCTATAGCACGCAGACAATCGTCGAGCACTAGGACCAAGCAGAAAACTGCAGTTTAAGCTGAAGCCCGCTTCCCTAAGTTTAGACCGCCCACAAGCTCCTGATTGGCCCTCAGTCTTTTCTTGTGTGATTCATCTTAACAGTTCAGGAGTTATGGTCTTGTAAAAAAAACATGCATATGCAAAAAATAACAGACAGTGAGAGAGTCTGCTATTTTAAATTTGGCATTTTTTTTCTTCTCTTGGATCACCTAATCTAGAAGGGTTGTAATATCAGGTGTATTAATTTATATAAATCTTAGAATTGTTGTTATGTGCGTGCATGTTTTTGTGTTTGGTTATTAGATTCACAGCTAGGGTGTCTGAAAAAAGAAAGACAAACATAGGAGACTTCTTTAAAAGTCAAAGTATAAGTTACATTCAAAGATGTGTAACACCCCTCCTAAAAAAACCTTTACTGGTTCCATAGAGCAGCAGATCCACTTCAAGATCCTCCTCCGCATTATAAAGCTCTCAATAACCTTGTAAAGCATATTTGTTTTATTAAATTTGTTGATAAATCAAATGTACTATTGTTACATAGTATTATCATCAAAAAAGGAAAAAATAAGATCTATTAATGTGACTTTATATATACCAAGCTCATAACAATTGTAAAACTGTGTTTTTAATCTACATGGATTGCCGTGCCCCAAATTGCCCAATTGTTCATGTCATGCATTCATATATTTTGTCAGGAGAGGGATAACAGAGATGAAAGAGAAAGGGGAGGAAACAAACACAGACAAATGTGCTGAACTTAACATAATAGTTATCTAAAAGTACTTGCCTCCCCAATTTCGTCCATGAGTATCAGTTTAGATGGGCTGAACAACAAATCAAAATGTATCTGAATGTTGGCTTGGCTAGTTATTTTCTTTTTGGTTTGGGTTGCCTGAATTTCCTCCCAGATGGAAGCAGTTCAAATTCACCGTGGGGCGAATGATCCGAGGAGTGAGTTAGGTATTCTGCCTTTTGATTCCATACTTGTCTCAAAATAGACTAATAAACAGGGTGATGAAAGCCAAAGTGAGGCCATATTTAATCAGAGAGTTATGAGAAATGATCATCAGCTTTTCACACTCCAGAGGTATTTAATTTACAGAGGAAGTGGAGTAGGGTTGTGAATTGATAAGATTTTCACAAATCTGAACATTTATTTCTGCCTGCCACGGTGAAAACAGAAGGTAGTGAACGGGAGCTTCCAGCCTCTGAGCCAGCCAGGTTACCCGTCTCATCACAGTCATCTAAATCTAATAGAGAAGGCTCCGTTTCATGAAAAAGCATTACTGTACAATTTTGGGAAATAAACTCATCTCCCCCTGATTTAAATAAATGAGCGTCACCTTTCTCTCGCTCCCTGAACTGCGAAGCAACTTCGTAGCATGTTTTGTTACATCCATTGCAATAGCTAGAATCATGTTAAGAATTCCAGCTACCAGTAGTCTTAATTAAACATGCTAGCAATGTAGGGCTGGATTAACGAGACAGGCAAGCTCCCTTAATAACCCCAAATAGAGGTAGGAAATTAGTTTATTTCCAGAAATGACATAGGATTTAGTAGGAACAGCCAGTGATATAAAACTAGCTACTTACCAGCAGAGTTGCCTTCCATGCTGGTCGTAACTTTAGCTTCCGTCCAGAAGGCATCAGAAACACGGTGTTCATTAAAATGTATGCCATGTTGTTTGCGCAGGTGTTTCTGCATGTTGGATATATTACCTCCCGCAGATGTTATTGCCACTTTGCAAAAATAATAACAAAGAGATATGACTGTATACTAGGAGCAAAGTGATAACTTACTAGTGTAATAATAATGTTAAGAAAAGAGAATCGGTTTTGCATCCGGCTCCTCCTTTCAGCTGCACCAACGAACAAACTCTCTCCATGATCTACTTTTCCTTGAGCACGATCCCTTTCACGTTTACTGTTTTAAGCATACTCAGAAGTTTTAAATTTTTTCCTTGCTATAGCCATGACCAGTAGTCGAGCAGGTGGAAAAATAGTAGAGCAAAAGCCTTAGCTCTATGACTATATAAAAGCCTGTGGCCATAAAGCGATACATTCTTCCAGGTCATATGATCTGGCCAATGACGGTGCATCATCATCCTACTTACATTGTCTGTATTTCAAGAGTAGAGCACTGCTCTTAGCACTGGTAGTCAATCACTGTATATTGGCCTGAGAAATAATTTTAAATACTTCATATGCATAAACTCTTTAGGTCACAAAGTCTGCCGTGTGCCTTTTATAAAACCACAAACGTTTCTTTCCAGATGATGAACCTTGGCAGAGGTTAAACGCTTACCTCATCCATGACACAGCAGACTGGAAGGACCTGAACCTGAAGTTTGTCCTGCAGGTCTACAGGGACTTCCATCTGACCCGGGACAGACAGTACCTGCAGGACATGTGGCCCATCTGCCAGGTATAACTGTGAGGCAAACCAGTGACCTCATGTTGCAAACATTTAAGTATGATAATTATTACAGGTTTGAGGTTTGGAAAAAGATGGAAAAAATAAATAATACAAACGTTAAATATTTGTTTCCAATCTTTACCCCATTGTCTAATTCCTCCTCATCCTTAAATACTTCCCTCCTTGTTATGTTAGAGATGCACAGATCTGATACCTGGATCGAATATCTGCTCCGATACTCACTATGGCTGGATCGGATATTG